TCTATTCAAAATAAAACATGGCTGCTTTTTTTCTCTAAGAAAGACCCATGGCACCTTCCTGGCTTTGGGGGATTGTCACAGTTCATGGCATGATGGAATTGGCACTAGGTTGCAGCAACAGTTGGAGGTCTGAACAACAAGCAGTGTCCCCAGAAAATATATGAGACTGTTAGCAATCCATTACATTGTCCCATCAAAAGCCCATACCTTAAGCAAGAGGACTGTATTCCCAAGTTCTGCCTTCTAAAAAAAAAAAAAGTCCACAGCTTTCCAAAAACTGAACACAGGCATTTACCTCAATTTTCTTCCACAATTTTACAATATTTAACTATGCATTAGTTTTTTTTGCTGTATATTTTCAGTTTCTACACTTTACTTTTTGTCTAGTATCTTACAGTTCTGATTCAGTAAGACGAGACAGACAGACAAAGGATTCTGCTACTGGTGAGACAATGTGTAACCAGATACAGAGCACATCTGGCAGGACGAATGTCTATTCAACCCTACAGTTGTCTACTCAGCAGATTTTAAGGTGGATTCAATACCACAAAAACAAAACCTTTCTTTGGGTTTGTTATTGGGGTTCTGAATCTTTCAAGTAACCATCTTTTGTCTTTTTCATTAGGTAAATTTCAGTGGGTTGTCTTTTGCCTCAGTTTACAATAATTCTTATGTGTATCTAATTTGATTGTAAGATTTTAAAGAGAAGCACCTATAACCTACATTCAAGGTATTTTGGTATTTGCAGTATACGAAATCAAAAAGTATGAGTAATGCTGAATATCTACTTGCTCCGTAACTTCTCAGAAAGAATACATTAAAAAGAATATTTGACCTTTTTAATGCCACAGCCAGAAAGCTGAACATTTTCATCATATTGAGAATGTCTACTGACTAACAAAAAGGACTGCACTTAGCACTGCTCATTTGTAACACTAGAAAAACTGAATTGTCATGCTTTAATCCACGGCAGAGGGACAGCTTCTCTGCCAGCTTCACTCTGTATGGGGACAGGGGAATTGGAGGAAAAGACAATGGGGAGGGTCCTGTTGTCTGAGCCCACATCTTTGTAGTGGCAGCTGAGGGGTTTCACTGAAACTCCTAGAATTTACATTTTGTTTGGCCGGAGGGGTCACATGACAGCTGCAAGCGAATGCTCTGAGGGGCTTTCTGCTTTCACTTGACACTGACAGGCTGTGAGACGGTCCAACACCACAGAGAGAAAATATTCCCTCTTTCCATGACATCACCCAGCCAGGAATGGGGGGAAGTGGAGGGAGGAGAGAGGGCACAGCTGGTGGCAGCCGCAGTACCATCTGCTACTGACTAATAGTTCATGCTGCTTTACTTATAAACTTGCACTTCTATGAACCAGAGTGGTGGCTGTATAGCCACCATCACAGAACACATCACAGATAAATTTGAGACTGACAGTCATATAATGTTACATTACTCAGGACAACCATGTATTGATTCATTTTTTTCGTTTTGGAAAATATGCTTTTACACTTTTTTGCCTCATTTTAAATGAGGAGATTAATACCACTGTCATGTCTGTTAAACATGAAACTACAGTCAGCAGTGAATCCATACAAACACCTAAGTGAAAATGACAGGCTGTGGTCTTTATGGGGGGGGGGGGGGGGGGGCCCTTTCCCTTATTTAGAATCAATTTATCAAGAAAAATAACGCTTGGGTTAAACTCACAACATAAAACGTGAACTTACCGTACATCTTTCCCTCATCAGAAAGGATGATCTTCCTGCGTCCACAAGGAGGATAGATAGCCAGGGCCTCCTGGAAGCTCTGTTCAATGTCAGGCTCCACACCCCCTCGCAATCATTGTCTACGGGCTGTCTGCCGAGTCGCTCATCCCTCCAGATCCTCGGCAGGGCTCTCACTGCCGCTCCAGCTGCTGGGTCAATCGTGGCGGTTGGGCTCTCCAAGCTTAAGCCCTGGAGCAGACTAGGGAGAGACCTTGGAATTCCCAAAGAAACAAACACAACCAAGATGTCATTCTCCACAACAGAACAGCGAACATCTGCTTCTAAAAAAAAACACTGTTAGTTTGAAGAGCACAATATGGAGCAAAAGCAGCCAAACAAACTTGAACATTCACCAAGAATGTTGTTGACTGATTTAACAATGGATTGTTATGGGGTTTTAAACAATTGAAACATTTTCTCTCATGAACTTGTTGGTGACTTCCTTCTTATTAAGTGACAGAAAAAAAGGTTAAAAAAATCATTCAAACTTGTTTAGAGATCAGATTAAATACTTCAGACTATGATGGGAAATGCATTCCATGCCCAATAGATGAGGTGAGTCCACAATTTGTACATACCTTGTAGCTCGCAATTTTGTTTTTGAAATTAAGTTTTCTACGCCTCATTTAACATTTTACAAGTCTTTATCACGCCATAGCCAACCTAAGTTTGCCACTTTAATCTGGAGCGATAAATCTGGGTCAGGAAATGAGAGGGCAGCATTTGACACTCCCTGCATTTACCACACACTGCCGAGGTTCCCTTGAGCAAAGGCACTTGATCTCCAGTGTAAATGTGTGTAACTCTGTGATTGCGCAAGCAAGGCATTTCATCAAAAACATTCAAGTTCAGCAACACTATGCTGCACAAAATGAAAGTGGAAAAAAAGTATTGTGGCTACTAATCTGTAGAGCTCACATCACACAGTCAGCCACAGCATCAACATTTATAATGCAATACAGACAT